CCTGTGGCAGTGAATTCCATGTGTTAATCACTCTTTGGGTGAAGAAGTACTTCCTTTCATCTGTTCTAACCCGACCGCTCAGCAATTTCATGGAGTGCCCACGAGTTCTTGTATGGTGAGAAAGGGAGAAAAGTACCTCTTTCTCTACCTGCTCTTTCCCATGCATAATCTTATAAACCTCGATCATGTCACCCCTCAGTCGTCGTTTCTCCATGCTAAAGAGCCCTATTCCTAGGGACTCCTTTTTCAGAACGACTTTGTAATTGTAATTCAGGTGATTCGGACATAATTTGACACTTTTTCATTGATTGCAGGAAATACAACATGGCTCGTGACAGATGGATCTCAGTGTACATTCAAAAATGGAGCCCTGCTACTAATCAGGAACTTGTAGCTTATCTCTTAGCTGATACTGATCCAAACGGGACATTGGTAGTGGCAAAGTTTCTATCTGTAACCTTGCGTGGTATTAAATAAATTGACTCTGTCCTTTTTAGGTGGTTAACGTGTATTTGGTAAACTGAATCGCATTATTCCGTGAAACTGTAAAATCGTAATGTGTTGTATGTATGTATGTTGTAATCAGTGTTCCCTCTAAGCTGAGCTGGTGTGAGCTAGCTCTCAGTTTTTTAGCCTCCGGCTCACACGTTTGTCATAGCTGAGGAAGGATGGCTCCGGAGCAAACTAATTTATGCAGGAGCCAGATCGCTCGCTCACAACTTTCGTGCCAGTAGCTCACAAAGTAGAAGTTTTGCTCACAAGACCCCACAGCTTAGAGGGAGCATTGGTTGTACTCCCATCATATGTATTATACTTTGTATATTTGCTTATGACCTATTGGTCTATGAGCAATAAAATGAATTGACTGACTGACTGTAATCAGTGGGACTTACTCCCAGGCAAGACAGCCCAGGATCGTGGCCGAAGGGACTCTCACCGAGCCCCTTTCGTGACCTTTTCCTTACAATGGGGTTCCAAAGGGCCTGTGCATCAAGCAACTTCTAAGGAAGTTCTGGGATAGCTGAACAGCTTATTTTATTACAAACTCCATAATACACGTCTGTCTGGATTTAACGGTGTCAGGCTTACGAGCGATGACAGAAGTCTTGTCAGAATCGTTTGCAGAAGAGGATGAGAATAAAAATTATGCCGATCGGTTCTTTGTGTTAGATTTGGAAGGGGGGGGGAAATACCCCACATTTCAGACACATTTTGTTTTATCGGAGGCAACAGGATGAGCGGGCCGGAAATAAACGCGAACAATAGGCGACTGTATTCCGGATGATCAAAGAGGACTTCACATGGGCAAAAAAATCAGCTGTCAGTTGGAGACTTCCACCGCCGTCTGCTTATCTTTCCAGGCCTTTCACTTTCGGTAGAGATTAGAACTTTGAAAGGGAGAAAGAGCCACTTTTGTTTATCTCCGCCATCGAAGACGGGAATGTAAGCACGGCTGAACGTATCTCCCCGCGTGCACCAGAGGACAATAGCGCGAGATCAGGAGACAATCCACAATCGGCTTTTCTTTTTACTGTCATCGTGACGGGGCTGCTTCGAGTCAGCGCTCTGAGACGGGGCTGCAATCCGCCAGAGTGTTTCTGTGGATGGAAAAGGCTTCCGCCCACGGAGCGTGACTTCTGTCTCTCCCTGTACTTGCTACGGCCAGAAATGCTCTGCTGGAATTCTCTTCAGTGCGGGGCGGCAGGGGGGGGTACCTCTAGGTGCAGCGTTGCGGTGGGGCATTTTGAACAGGGGAGAACATAAGAACATAAGAGATGCCAATGTTGGATCAGGCCAAAGGCCCATCCAGTCCAACAATCTGTGTCACACAGTGGCCAGAAATACCACTGCCATCAGGAGGTCCACCAGTGGGGCCAGGACATTAGAAGCCCTCCCACTGTTGAGGGCGGGGTACAAATTAAATAAATAAAATAAAATACTGCCCGATCCTTTTACCTGGAGAAAGTACGGCTCAGTGGACAGAACACATGAAGGCGCCTATACTGAATCAGGCCCTTGGTCCATCAAAGTCAGTACTGTCTACTCAGACTGGCAGCGGCTCTCCAGGGTCTCAGTCAGAGGTCTTTCACATCACCTTCTCAGTGGCGGCTCCATACTGGTGGAACGAGCTCCCGGAAGAGATCAGGGCCCTGCGGGATCTTTTACAGTTCCATAGGGCCGGCAAGACGGAGCTCTTCCACCAGGCTTCCGCAGGGCCTGCAAGATGGAGCTCTTCCACCAGGCTTTGAACTAAGGAGCTGCCACCAGTACTACCACCAACAATTGTAGCTATAGATCCTGGCCCTTCATTTTGACATCTGGCCTATGCCGCCGTGTGACTTAGGAAGATCCCTGTGCTGGAAAACTGTCTGTATGCACTTCTCCAGTACGCCATCTTAAGGAATTCATGAAATATTGCCAGCACTTTATGATTTTAGGATCTTATTTGTAATTGAATTGTTTAAATGATTTTATGTGGATTTTCGTGGGTTTCTATCTACCAACCGATGTTAAGCCGCCCTGAGCCTGCTCGCGGGGAGGGCGGAGTACAAATTAAATAAATAAAATAAAATACTGCCCGATCCTTTTACCTGGAGATGCCGGGGATTCATAGAATCATGGAGCTGCAAGGGACCTCCCGGGTCATCTCGTCCAACCCCCTGCACACTGCAGATTCATAAAGCCTTCCCCCCCCCCCCATACACCCCCGGTGACCCCGTTCCACACCCGGAAGATGACAAAGAGCCTCCAGGATCTCCATCCAAACTGGCCTGGAGAAAAATGGCTTCCTGACCCCAAAGTGGCGATCAGCATTTCCCTGGGTGTGTAAGAAAGGGCCACAAGACTGAAGCACTACATTGAACCTGGGACCTTCTGCGTGGCCAGTAGATGCTCTACCACCGAGCCACGGCCCCTCCCCAAAACTCCTCCGAGAGTCTCAAAGGGATCCAAGCCGCATAACTGAAATAAGCTGAAATAAGACCGCACACGTTGAATTCTCATTTTTTCTCTCTCAAAAAAATAAGCTTTATTCTTGAACAGGCAGCTTTTCCTAAAGGGAACCTCACTATGAAGAACCAAAGAACGTCACAGTATAAACTGAATATGGACCCCCCCAAAAAAAAAAATTCAGCACAAGCTCAAGTTAACTTTGAGGAAATGCAGATTTCTTCCAAGCACAAGTGAGACTCCTGATGTCTCCTTGAACGATCCAAACGATGTCGCACGATATATTTCCCTTAAACTGAAGAAATTGCACTTCAATTTACCAAAATGCTGATGTCATATAAAAAACAACAATAACCAAGTCCTTCTGCTTTACTTCTTGGCGTACGTGATCTTCATGGCGTGGGAGGGGGTGATTTTGAAGCCTTGGAGAGCGTCCCGCGCGGCGCCCGCCTGCCCTTCGTTTTCAAACTCCACAAAGGCGATGTCGTGCCTGCCGGGGACCAGCCGGACTTCTTTGAAACCAGGGAACCTTGAAGGAAAGAGAAACGGTTCATTTACAACATTTATTTCCCGACCAATCAGGGCCCCTGGGGTGGCTTTACATGAGATCCGATTCTTTACTGAGTGATGGGGTCACTCTTGTTCTCTAACAACTCAGGAATCGCCAGGTGAGGCAGCCGTGTGGGTCTGAAGCAGCAGAACACAGTTCGAGTCCCGGGGACACCTTTCAGACCAACCAAGTTTTATTCTGGGTATTAGTTTTCGTGTGCAGGCACGCCTCTTCAGGTATGTGAAGAAGTGTACATGCAAGTGAATGCTTATACCCCAAATTAAACACACATAACAAAAGAACTTAAGAAGAGTTCTGCTGGATCAAACCAGGAGTCCAGCTGTTCCAGCATCCGGTCTCATGCAGTGGCCAACCAGTTCCCCAGGAGGGCCAACAACAGGGCAGGGAGGCCGAGGCCTTCCCCTGAGAAGAACGTCAGAAGAGCCCTGCTGGGCCAGACCAGGGAGGGTCCATCTAGTCCAGCCTCCTGTCTCACACGGGGGCCAGCCAGTTCCTCTGGAGGGCCAGCAACAGGGCAGAGGGGCCGAGGCCTTCCCCTGAGAAGAACGTCAGAAGAGCCCTGCTGGGCCAGACCAGGGAGGGTCCATCTAGTCCAGCCTCCTGTCTCACACGGGGGCCAGCCAGTTCCTCTGGAGGGCCAGCAACAGGGCAGAGGGGCCGAGGCCTTCCCCTGAGAAGAACGTCAGAAGAGCCCTGCTGGGCCAGACCAGGGAGGGTCCATCTAGTCCAGCCTCCTGTCTCACACAGTGGCCAGACTGTTCCTCAGGAGGGCCAGCAACAGGGCAGAGAGGCCGAGGCCTTCCCCTGATGTTGCCTCCTGGTTCTGGGATTCAGAGGTTTTTAAGAACATCAGAAGAGTTCTGCTTGATCAGACCAGTGGTCCATCTAGTCCAGCCTCCTGTCTCACACAGTGGCCAGCCAGTTCCTCAGGAGGGCCAGCAACAGGGCAGAGAGGCCGAGGCCTTCCCCTGAGAAGAACATCAAAAGAGCCCTGCTGGATCAGACCAGTGGTCCACCTAGTCCAGCATCCTGTCTCACACAGTGGCCAGCCAGTTCCTCTGGAGGGCCAACAACAGGGCAGAGAGGCTGAGGCCTTCCCCCGATGTTGCCTCTTGGTACTGGGATTTACAAGCTTACTGCTTTTGAATGTGGCAGTTCCCTTTAGTCACCATGGCTAGTAGCCATTGACGGACCTCTCCTCCATGAATCTGTTTAATCCCCTTTGGAAGCCATCTATGCCCACAACCATCACTACATCCTCCGGCAGTGAAATCCACCGACATCCATTTTGGCCTACACCAAAGCCACAGCTGCGTGCACCCTTAGAGACATTTCACTTTGACCCCCTTCTCAATCTAGGGCATAAAGGCACTTCAAAATCAAAAGTGTGGGCAGCTACTGTGAAAAGACCTGAGAAATCCGTGGACCACCCGATCTCACTTCAGGGCCTTCTCAAAAATCAGAGGATTGCAAAACGTTTACGCGTAAAGGAAGAGGGGGAAACGGCACGCGTCTCTCGACACACTTACTGATTGAAGAGCATCGACAGCATCATTTCGTTGGTCTCTTCTGGCAGGTTGTTGAGGAAAAGTATGTAGTTTGGTGGATTATCAGGGACCTGTGATAAAAACACACACGCACACATTAGCTTTCATAAACTGTTAGCCATTTTTCCGTCGGCATTCTCGGACCCCAATGATTCTACCAACGCTGATGTTCCATTTGATCTGCAAACAGAATGGGGTAGGGGGCTGATAGCAACACACTCCTTTGCAATGTTACTCCTGGAATAAAGACTGGAATACTTCTGCACAGGGTTGCACTGTTAAGTCCCTAAACAGATCCACTTTGCATTCAAGTGCCGGTTTATTCCATGAAGGAGCTGCGGTGGCTCAAGTGGTTAAGACGCTGAACTGCAGGTTGTGGAAGGTCGGTAGTTCAGCAGTTCGAGACCCGAGTGTGCCGCATGACGGAGTGAGCTCCCGTCTCTAGTTCCGGCGTCAGGGACCTGTGATAAAAACACACACACATTAGCTTTCATAAACCGTTAACCAGTTTTCCGTCGGCATTCTTGGATCCCGATGATTCTACCAACGCTGATGTTCCATTTGATCCGCAAACAGAATGGGGTAGGGGGTTTATAACAATGCACTCCGATGCAATGTTACTCCTGGAATAATTCTGCGCACTGTTAAGTCCCTAAACAGATCCACTTTGCATTCAAGTGCTGGTTTATTCCATGAAACTTACTCCCGTGCAAGTGTTTTTTCGGATCACAGCCTGAGGCTATCACAGCTCTTCTATAAGACAGGTAGGGCGTAGTGTGGCGCTCAGCGTGCCGGACTAGGAGCTGGGAGACGCGGGTTCGAATCCCTACTCGTAAGCAGTGTTCCCTCTAAGCTGAGTGTGAGCTAGCTCACAGTTTTTTAGCCTCTGGCTCACACATTTTTGTCTTAGCTCAGGAAGGGTGGCTCCAGAGTAACCTAATTTATGCAGTAGCCAAATCGCTCGCTCACAACTTTGATGCCAGTTGCTCACAAAGTAGAATTTTTGCTCACCGGACTCCACAGCTTAGAGGGAACACTGCTCGTAACCATGGAAGCTCGCCGAGTGACTGGGAGCAAGTCACACCCTCTCTGCCTAACCTACCTCACAGGGCTGTTGTGTGGATAAAACGGAGGCCGGGACAATGTTGTAAGCAGCTTTAGGCAAGAAAGCCACACTCCTCGGGCAGAGACCCTTCTGCCCCCAGAAGCACTTTGAAGCATCCAAGTCAGCATACCTTCACGAAACACAGTCTTCAAATCTCACCCACCCTGTTTCAAAAAATAAAATAAAATCAAATAGGTTGCATGCAAAGTACTAAGTGACTGCCCTGTCGGTTTAGCAGCCGCTGGGGGGGGGGGGGTATCTATCAGGGGTCCCCAACGTGGGGCCCGTGGGCGCCATGGCACCCACCAAGTGTTTTTAGAAAAAAGGGCAATGCCAGGTGGGGCTTTTGCCCAGCAAGGCCTCATATTGGTCACCAGAGGTTTCACTGATTGTATGGATTTTTGAAGAAGACAAAGACGAAGAAGGAGGAGGAGGAGATTGGATGTATATCCTGCCCTTCTCTCTGAGTCTCAGAGTGGCTTACAGTCTCCTTTCCTTTCCCCTCCCCACAACAGACACCCTGTGAGCAGTGTTCCCTCTAAGCTGAGTGAGTGTGAGCTAGCTCACAGTTCTTTAGCCTCCAGCTCACACGTTTTTGTCTTAGCTCAAGAAGGAGGGCTCCAGAGCAAACTAATGTCTGGCCGTAGCCAAATCGCTCGCTCACAACATTAATGCCAACAGCTCACAAAGCAGAATTTTTGCTTACAGGAGCAAATGCCTCTGAGGTAGGTGGGGCTGAGAGAGCTCTGACGGAGAACTGCACCTGAGAGAACAGCTCTGAGAGAACTGTGACTGACCCAAGGTCACACCGGTGGCTGCAAGTGGAGGAGTGGGAAATCAAACCCGGTCCTCCCAGATTAGAGTCCGCGCTCCTAACCACTACACCAAACTGGCTCCTTTAAGATGTTGCTTTGGCAGCAGCGTCCACCTCAGCAGAAGGTGTTCACTGCGTTACTGAAGTTTAGCTGCAGCCGCCGCACGGTGTTAGAATCCCAAAGGTGCCGGCAGGCTCGAGAAGGCTGTGGACCCCTGGTATCAATTATTCAGCCTGTTCACTGGTATGCGACCAGAACAAAGACTGAGACTCTGCTAGAACGACCAGATTCGATTGCACGCTTTGGATCCGATTCATATCCTGCTGGGGGGGGGGGGGACCACAGCATTTACCTGGAGGAAGAGTACAATGGATTGGTTTGTTCCTTGCTATTCGAAGCGGGACACACAGGAGAGGTCTTGCGTCAGTCAGAAATGCTCTTACCGATATACACAGCTCTGTTGCTCAAGTGAGAAAGGTGCTGGAGTTTGTTTGAGAGAAATACGAGGGAGAGAGAATATTACCTGCTGGTTCTGGGAAGAGCTGGATTGGGCATTTGCTGAATTCTGGTTTGCTCCCTAGTAAGAAGATGAAGAAGAGATTGGATTTATACCCCGCCCTTCACTCGGAGTCTCAGAGCAGCTTACAAACTTCTTTCCCTTCCCCTCCCCACAACAGACAGACACCCTCTGAGGCAGGTGGGGCTGAGAGAGCTCTCTTTCGAGGACTGTCCTTGAGAGAACGGCTCTGACAGAACGATAGCTTGCCCAAGGTCATCCGGCAGGTGCAAGTGGAGGAGTGGGGAATCAAACCCGGTTCTCCCAGATTAGAGTCCGTGCACTTCACCACAACACCAAACTGGCTCCGTCCTTTTGTGGAAAGGGGTACGATCGCTGCCTGTAAATTCCAGACAGAAGGATAGTCTGAACTGGACGAGCGCCAGTGTGTTAGAGGGTCAGACTAGGATCTCGGAGGCATGGGTTCGAATTCCCCCTCGGCCATGGAAAATGGTTGGGTGACCTCGGACCGGGTGCCCACTCTCGGCCTACTCAACCGTGTTCAATTGCTGTGAGGATACAGTGGAGGAGAGGAGAATGATGTGAGCCAGTTCCACGGCCGGTGCTAGATAGGGATGCCATGTCTGACTCAGGAAATATCTGGGGACGTTGGGGGTGGAGCCAGGAGCCAGGATGTGACATCACTTTTTGTGATGTCACTACGGTTGCCGGGTGAGGCTGACAAGCTGGCGGGGGACTTACCAGGATATGCCAAGAGAGGGGACAGAAGAAATACGACTGAACTCCAAAGGGAGTTCTGACCATCACATTTAAAGGGACCACATTCCTTTTAAATGCTCTCCCTCCATTGGAAGTAATAGAGGATGGGGGCACCATTTTGGGGGCTCATAGAATTTGACCCCCTGGTCCAATCTTTTTGAAACTTGCGGGGGGGTGTTGAGGAGAGGCAGTACCAGCTATGTCGAACATTTGGTGCCTCTACCTCAAAAAACAAAACAAAAAACAGTCCCCCAGAGCCTCAGATACCCACAGATCGATTTGCCATTATACCCTATGGGGACCAGTCTCCATAGGATATAACGGAGCACCCAGCGGCCATTCCCCCACCACCACTTTCTGATAGCCTTGAAGTGGGGGGAGGGGCTCCAAACCAGGGGATCCCCTGCCCCCAACTGGGGATCGGCAACCCTACCAGGTTCCCCCTGGCCCATCGGTGGTGTTAAGTCACTCACTTAACAAAGTAGTCGGAGAGTGAGTCAGCAAAAGATCCGCTTTATTCAACGATTGTGACACAACTCCAACACGGTTCAACATCTGATAGCCAGAACAGCTTTAGCATTAAAGCTGTTCCCTTTTTAAACTCTCCCGGCTAATATAGCCACGCCTTTACTGTACACTACCAACCAATGAGATTGTTTACATAAGGACCAATCACCGACGTTCCCACTCAGGGAGCTTGCTGATATGCGATTGGTTGGTTCTTCCTGGGCTAGCCATGCGATTGGATGTATTTGGATCCTAGCCCAGGACGAAGCTTAAAATTACATTTCTAGGAGGTGATTCGCATACATGTTTAGCCATTCAGTGACAGCTATTGAATACACTACAGGTGGGGTCTTGGGGGCAGGGTTGCCAACTCCAGATTGGGTAACTCCTGGAGGTTTGGAGATGGAGCCTGGGGAGGACAGGGACCTCCACAGTGGGGTACAATGCCCCAGAGCCCACCCTCCAAAGCATCCATTTTCTCCAGGGGGACTGATCTCTGTAGTCTGGAGTTGAGCTGTAATTCCAGGGGATCCCCAGGTCCCACCTGGAGGCTGGGATCCCTAGTTTGGGACAACTCTTCCAAATTGTGCCCAGGGGCCCCCTTCTGCTCACCACCAGCCCCCCCCATCCTTCCCCTTCCACCCACCCACTTGCTTCTGGCAGGGCCCCATGGTCCTTGAAGCTTATGGTTGCCATCCTCCAGATGCGGCCTGGAGATCTCCCAGAATTGCAACTGATTTCCAGACATCAGTTCCCGTAGAGAAAATGGCTGCTTTGTTTTGGAAATCTGTGAGTGTTGCGAGGTCTAATTCAGTCACTATAGGGTTAATCCGCTTTACCTTTTGTGCTGTTGTTTAGACTGACATGGAAGGGAAACCTGGCTCAGAGCCAATGGAAACAAAGCCCGAGAAATCGAAGTCTGTTTACTCACAATCATCGGTTTATGCATTCAGGTGATTTCCTTCCAGGGGTCAAGAAGAAGAAGAAGAAGAATCTCCATTACGGTTGTTGTTGTGAGACCGTGTGGTCGGTCTGTTTCTGTAGCTGTAGGGATGTAGCCTCAGATCTTTTATTTTGTCGCTTTTCCTGTGTACCCTTCCCTTTAGAAATAAAGATTTTTACACAGAAAGAAATGCCTCCTCTCCAGTGAAGCAAAGATCCATCGCAAACTCTGAATAGCTAAGCATTTTTACCTATTTTTCCGACACTTTGGAGGGTGGACTCAGTATCTGGACCTTCGTTGTTAAAAATTCAGAAAGTGAATATTCAGCTTCACAGCTTTAAAGCTATGAGAAAAGGTTTTCAGATCTCTGAGAACAGAGCAAAGGGGGAGGCCGAACTGAGCTCGGGGGTGAACATCGTTACCATTTCAAAAGTTTTAAAAAATATTCCGGGGCTTTGAAATAAAAATAATCCAAACATAAAGCGAAGCCTCGGGGGCTTTCTCAAATGCCTTATTCTTCATTTTTATTTAAAGTCTTAGAATTTAACTCACGGCTTTTGCATCACTCACAAGCGTTGAATGCACGCCCATGACTGTGGGCCCCCAGGGTCGCCATCCTCCAGGTGTGGCCTGGAGATCTCCCAGAATTGCATTTGATTTCCAGACTACAGAGGTCAGTTTCCCTGGAGGGAATTGGCTTCTTTGGAGGGTGGACTCCTGGGCATTGTATCCTGCTGAAGCCCCTTTCCCTCCCCAAACCCCGCCTTCCCTGGGCTCCGCCCCCTAAATCTCCCGAAGCTGGAATCTCTACTGACCAGACCCAAATTTTAAAGAACGAACCCACCTTAACATGTTCTTGTTAGCTTATAGTCTCATTTGACCTTGCACTTATGTTAGGTTGTCAGTCAGGGTAGCTGGCTCCAATGCTCCCTCTAAGCCATGGAGTCTCGTGAGCAAAAATTCTAATTTGTGAGCTCCTGGCATTAAAGTTGTGAGCGAGCGAATGGGCTACTGCACAAATGAGTTTGCACTGGAACCATCTTTTCCTGAGCGGAGACAAAAATGTGTGAGCCGGAAGCTAAAAAACCTGTGAGCTGGCTCACACCGACTCGGCTTAGAGGGAACACTGGTCTGTTTCCAGAAACGCCTGGAGGTTTGGGGGTGGAGCCTAAGGGAGAGTGGGGCTTGGGAGGGGAGGGGCTTCGGCCGGGTAGAGTGCCCCAGAGCCCACCCTCCAAAGCAGCCGTTTCCTCCTAGGGGAGCTGATCTCCATTGTCTGGAGATCAAGTGTAATAGTGGGAGCTCTCCAGGTGCTGCCTGGAGGCTGGCAACCCTATTTGTCAGCAATTAACTATTTACTTGTGTTTTCTTTATTTTATTTACATACGGAACGTGTATCCTGCCTTTCTGCCCTTACAAAGGTCACCAAGACGGATCAGAAGAGAAGAAGAAGAAGAGAAGAGATTGGATGTATACCCCGCCCTTCACTCAGAGTCTCAGAGTGGCTTACAATCTCCTTTCCCCTCTCCACAACAGACACCCTGTGAAGTAGGTGGGGCTGAGAGAGCTCTTTTGTCTGGCACCTGTGATTGCACCCGAAGAGTGACTGTCTTTGCACATAGATCTAATTCATGCTCTGTGCTGGAGGCATCTTGTACTCACCTGGATTATGCAGTGGGCCCATAAAATCGGTGGGGGAACTGACTCCTTCTTGCATTAGAATCCCACCCCTCAGTGGTTACACAGCTCCAATTTTAGAAAACCTGATCTAAAATCTCTCGGTCAGCTATAACCACAAAGGCAGCTGGATTTTAGATGGCTCTTCGACAAGATTCTGTATTACGACAACTCCGTGGTTCAATTTGTTAGAGGAAAGAGTCCAGCGTCATCTGGAAAAGGATATTAAAGATGAGACAGAGAGCGAGCTTTCTTTCTGTGCCACGATGTGTCCAGATATTAAATCCTTTTAAAAAGCCCCACGCGTCTTAGATATTTTCTCTTTCCAAGGCAGCTAAGTGTAAGTTATATCCTGTTCTGCACAAGATTTTTAAATTATATTTCTATCCCAATTAGGGCTGTGAAAATCCAACTGATGTCGGATTTACTGAAACTGTTTGATGAGCTTCCCTCAAAATTTCATAGATGACCTCGTGATGCTGAATAAAACACACCAGAATATCGACCGTTGATCCAATGGTATTAGAGTTGCCAACCTCTGGGTGACAGCCGGAGATCTCCCACTATTACAATTGATCTCAAGGTGACCAAGTTCAGTTCCTCTGGGGGGAAAAACAAACAAACCTGTTTTCAGCTCTTCACAAACTGCCACAAACTGCATCAAAATCTGTGGCAGTTCGTGGGGGCCCTTTAGTTCACAAACATTGTTTCATGACCCACGAACCGGTCAAAATTCGTGATGAACTTTAGTTTGTGAGCCGGTTCGTGCCCATCCCTAGATGTCATCTCCTTGAATGGGATGCCTCTCATTGTCTTCACCTGGGAACTGCCCTCTGAACCCTTCTCTCTCTCTCTCTCGCCCTCCCTCCTCCCTGTCTCTATCTTCTCCCTCTGTCTTCTCACTCTCTCACATGGCCTTCCATGAAGACACATGTTGCTGCAGGTCTCTCCTGTAGAGACAATGCCCTCATTCTCCCACACACATGATGTTGGACCAGCTGGCCCTTTGTGATAGAGAAAAGACTAATTAGATTAGGTTCCTCTCTCTACAGTTTGATGTCGTGGTTAAGTCTGTGGACTAATCTGGGAGAACCGGGTTTGATTCCCCACTCCTCCACTTGCACCTCCTGGATGACCTTGGGCAAGCCATAGTTCTGTCAGAGCTGTTCTCTCA